TCGGCGTCGGTTTTCTAATTTAGTCCTCGCTGACATCAGGTCACATTGATGAACATTTGGCGTTTTTTGAAGGCGTCGTGATGGTTGGCGTCGCGACGCCTGGCGTCGATTTCACAAAATCGCTCTCAATGTGTTCCCAACTGTTTGAGACGTTCACATGTGATACAATGATATCTTCGCGGCTAGTAGCGTCGCGACGCTCGGCGTCGGTTTTCTACTTGTTTTTACTGAAAACTTCTTTTTGTAAAGTTCACAAGATGAAATCATGTAGAGTCGGCATGTTTCATTTTGGAAATCACAGCGTTTGTTTTCACAGCTTCCATGTTCCCGTACAAAACGTAAGGGGTTTTAAAACATCAAATGAAGTGTCTGTCAGTGACAACGATGTTCATTTTAAAAAGTTGAAAATCATTTCCTTGTTTCAGACCATTTTGAATAGGAATTACAAGAGACAAATGTTTAAATACACGCATTTCACTGTCCGTGAAGTCTGTGTTGTATTTCTTGGCTGTGATGCCATCTTCATCTTTATCCCTGAAGAAGGAAGCAGCGTGTTTCTCCGAGACGTTGGTATCTGCCTTCGTGTATACACGACGTCGCAACCCAGGAGGATAACATCGGCGTTTTTACCATCGTGAGAACCTCAAATATTACAATGTCCGTTCGATGGTGTGCTTCGGATTTCCAGAATGTCTTTAGGAGCAGACGAGGATAAGTTGGGTGTGGTTTCACGATGATGCCGATTTGGGTAGAGAGTAAAAACTTTCTTTCCATCGTTGATCTTAGTTGGTTTATGTGACCTTCATCGATTTATAAAGGTTAGTTTGAAATGCGTATTTGTAGAGACAAATTGCTCTTACGTCCGTATAAAGTATACATGGAAGTTTGGAACGTAGTTTCTGAACTTAAGTGGATAGAAAGATAAGAAACAGATCTGACGCATTTAGCTCTCGGCATTTAAAGTTTATTTTTCTGGGGAGTGAAACCACGTAGTGCAACGGTGAGTTTCCCATTGCAGAAAATGGTGCGTTTACGTACCGTTAACAAAGAACAAAGT